ATGTGGCACTTCGTGCCCTGGTCTAGTAACCGTGGTTGGACTCAATGATCTTTGAGGTCTTTTCCAATCCAGTTGATTCTATGATTTTATGATGGGCTGCTTTGCTAGATGCCAGTAGTACAAGGGAGTGAGGAGAAAGCCAGGGATGCTGCAGTTCAGTGGGTTGACACACAGAGTCTTGGGTCTTAGGTGGGACAAAGTTCTGTTGGCACAGCCTCATTACCAAGATCTATTATCCTTCCTGCTGTGCTCTGCTGCTTCCAGTTTCTAGCAGATGGTCTTGCACTGCATGGTGTAGAAGTATCTGGGGTGTAAAAGTAGGCAGGAGGCAGCATGCTTTGCCTTTGGAGCATCTTGGTACTTGTGCCTATTCATCCATTCCTCCTCTTCAGCCTCCCAAGTCCAGGCATTGGTGTGCATCTAACTGTGTGTGGGACTTCCTCAAAGCCAAAGCTTTGCTGCAGTGGAAAGGAATCCAGATGCAATCTTGGCTTGCTTTCACAAGACTGCAAGTCAGTGGCAGCTGGGAAGTGGTATGTTCCTGTGTAATTAATTATTTTCCTGGGAATAAAAGGCGATGTTTTTTGTTTGCTCTCTGCAATGAATCAATCATTTCTTTAGGTATGATGTGCAGACAGACATGGTGAAGCAGCCGGTGTCCTTGGCTCTGCATTTGTCTTGGTGTCTGGCTGAGCAACTTCTTTCTGGGATGGGAAGCAGCTGAGATCTGTGTTTTCACTGTGGGGTTGTTCCTCCCCCAAGGGAAAGACAGGATACTCACCACTCCTCAGGAAGACCACAAAAAACACTGGCCCTGAAAACATGGAGTAATTTGAAATTTCTAGACTGCCTCCCTTGTCCTCTCCTTCTGGGGTTGTTTCCCAAATGGTTGACATAACCTCAGTGCAGTTTTGGGTTGATAGAGTGTCTACTACCCAGACTATCTTCTACATCAGTGTTCTTGGGCCCACTGCACAGGCAGAAACTTTCTCTTCCATGCTGCTGTACAGTAGCTGCAGTATGTGGCTCCTGATGGGTTTCTCTCTGCAGCAGTTGTTGCCTATGAGCAGCACAGGGTGGCCTGTGGTATGGCACATTGAACAAACCCCTTGGACAAGCCTCTGGACCTGTGTCTGGGGGCTGGAAAGAACTGGTGTATGACTTGGTGTTCTTGCCACATATTGCTTGCAAGGGACGTCCTCACTGTCACTGGGGGCTGGAAAGACTAGTAGTTAGGGTACTTTGGGTACTTGCTTGGTAGTACTGGGTTAATGGTTGAACTCTATTATCTTTCCAACCAAAGTTATTGTATGAAGTAACTGGTCAGCTTGAAGCACACAGTTGGATGAGGGCAAAATACAATTCCTTGTCTTTATATGTTTTAAGAAGACCCATTTAATATGGATGTCTAATTAACATGTTGGAGAAAAAGAACTATTTGTGAGGAGAGGGACAGTCCTAACAGACATGCTTGCTGAAACGCTCAGTGCTGCCCATATACACAATTTTTTTTTAAATAAAGGGGTTTTTGCAGGTTTCTCATCCAAGTGTACTGACCTTTTGCTTCGCAGCATACAGAGGGCAGGTTTAGGCTGACTTTGCTCCTCAGGGCCACCTATGCCTTTCACATGTCAGTTGGGCCTGTTCTGACAGAGGAGCCCAGGAACACCCGTGCCTGGGGTCCTGTGTGTGATGCCTCCCCATATCACTATCACACCTGTTCCTGCAAGGAAGGAAGACACTCAACTTCAAGTTGCCATCTCCTTCGCAAGGGGTATTGCTTCATTCAGCAGTTTGGTCACTAGGATCTTGGGGCCAACAAGGTGTTATGAGTAAAGGGGAGGGAGAGGTTTTGCTGCCCACCCATCCTCACTGCTGCAACCCTTCCTCTGCTGCAATGTTTTTTTAACTTTTTGTGTGTTTATCCCAAAACCTGATACTAAACGTTTCCTCTTTGCAGGCAAAGAGAATGATGAAAACTGTAATGGGGGGTGAGGGAGGAGAGAAACGGGTAACCCCATCAAGGACTGCAGTGGCACCAAGAAGGAGTGGCAGCTGAAGGATTAGCCCTTTCTCTCATTACTCAAGGGAAACTTTTCATAAACCACTGGCACGAGTCCACCAGCCCCAGTATGAGCTCAACCTCTACACTTTTACGTTATTTATCTTTTTATCCCCAGAGCTCTGTTGCTTTGAAAGGTTTAAGTGCCTGTGAAACACCTGTGCACTTGAGCATGTCCATAGTGCGATTTTCAGGGTCTACTTGAGTAAGCTGTGCCTCTCAGAGCATCTAGAGAGGGGCAAATCAGTACAGACACATCCACAGTGGGAGGGAAACTACATAGAAAGTACCTAGGCCATCAGGATGTACAGAGACCGTGCTAGGAAAGGCAGTAGAGCAGCTCTTCATTTATTCTTCATGTTTGGGGTGACTGATATGGAGCTGCAAGGCCTGTGCAGGCTGTTGCCTTATGTAGGGTGAAACTGTGCATGTTTTATTCCTGGGAATAGCCCAAGGTAAAGATAAGCTAGTACTTTTCTCCGGTGAGTAGTTATCCCTGAATCGCAGACTGTGAGACTACTAGATGGCTAGTTTTGCCTCTTCTTGCTCCTTACCAGTGAGCATGAATGAGACCTTGAGTCTCACTTGCTCCCTCTCTGAGCCAGTGTCCTCCAGCAAACCCCTTGAGGAAAGAACTGAAAGGAAAGAGCAGAAGGAGAGTGCTGGGCACCCTGTCAGCCAGGAGAGAGGAGGGTGCAAGGGATAGAGAGGAAGAGACCTCCATTCTGAGAGTACTCTGCATTTCAAGGCTTATGAGAGTTGTTCATCAATCACCCCAGAGCAGCCAGGTGATTGGTCTCCCCAAGCAAACCTAGTTCAAGTCTTCCAGGCAGCGCTTATGCATCACAGGGAAGCAAGAAAAGTCAAATAGTTGACCTGGCGGCTTTGCTGCCTTGTCTGTTCTTCTAATAAGCTATGCCTTAAAAGCACATGTTGAGTGTTTGATGTTCAACAAGGAGCTAATGTGACCTGCAATCATATACCATATATACACAGCAGTCAGTCATATACATATAGATACCCAGCTGTGTGTTGTTCATACTGGCACTTTCCACTAAGGGGATATGGCACATGTAGGAATATATCAATACTTCAGCTTTTTTATACCAGTAGTTTCAAGTTTCTATTTCAGCTAATGTAGAGAGAGAGTCAAATAGACTGATCAACAGGCAGGAAAAAAATCTAGAAAATCTTGCTTTGCAGTTCATCTGATAAAGGAAACATGTAGTGTGTAAACCTTGTTTCTCATCAGGCTGATTTACATTTGCAGAACGAGCACTGGTTCTCCTGTCCCTTGCACAGTTATTTCCCCTAGCATCACTTACCTCTGACATAAGCCAGTATAAGAATGGTCAGAACAATGTTTCTTGTCTGTAGAAAGAGAGATGTGTACCCTACCTATGCTAACAAGTCTGAACAACTGGAGAACATTTTTATAAATGTATTTATAAAGATATTTATAAAGATAAAACTATCTCTGAACTCTCTGTTCATTGCACTATTGTCAAACCTAATAAGCTAAGACAATGGAAATCTGCTGGCATGGGAAAGCAGGGAGACCAGCAGGGAGCTTGTCACAGTGACCTGCATGGATGCACATGGATGGTGCTGCACTCGCCAGAACTGTGTTGCAGACCCTGTGCTTTGTGAGTGACCCCCTTGACTGCAAACTGGCACTCTGAGCTCCTTCTCAGTCTGCAGTCAAAAGAGGCTTCTCATGGGCTACTGTGGCTAAGCCTCTAAGCAGGGAGTAACTGTGCAACTGAATACAAATCAAACAGCTTGAATCTGTCTGCTGCTCATTGCCCAGTGCACCTCATCTAATATGGCTGGATGGATATGCTCCCTCCCAACATCTTGGTCATGGGAAAAGATCCTACATAGGTTTTGGGTGAAGAGTCAGCTAAAGCCTGGAAGGTCATGGGGGGCTTCAGGGTGGGCCCCTATGGATGTTTCCATTGGTTTGGCTCAGTGCCACGATCTTCAAACTCAACAGTTTGGACTCAGATTGAGCTCAGACCTGGATCAGCCTTTCCAGGAGTTCAGGAACTTGTGAGCTTTGATGTCTCGTATCAGACCACCTGCACTTCCCCTAGCTGTAGCCTCAGTTGTCAAGAAAAAAGAGGGTCAGACAGGGGGCATGGTGTTTGTTTTTGCATTGCACTGCCAGACAAGAATATCCTGTTGTTATGTGGAATCACTGAAAACTTTAATAGCATCCCTAAAACCTTCTCCTCCCAAAACATTTTGCTGCTCCTAGCATGTTGATGAGTAGCTATGGACTCCTGCAGCAGAACTTGCAGGATTGAGTGGTCTTGGCAGAGTAGCTGCAAAGGGCATTGTGTTTAATAAAAGGACTGAACTTTAGAGTGGCCTTCCCTATGTTTTGAATCAAGATTTGGTCTTTGGATGTTAAGTGCTGGGCTGATGAACACAGAAAATACAAACTGGCTCCCTGTGTCCCTCTGGCAGCGAGCGGGCAGGCACTTTTCTCCTGCCCTGGGACACTTGGGGCAGATTCCCTGCAGATTCCTATTGTCCTTACTATGGAGGCATGATTTACAGCGGTGCTGGGTGCCTGCAGGTGCTGCCCACAGCAGGGGCAGTCCTGGTGGCTCAGCACCACTGAGAATCAGGCCAGGGTGTCCTGGCAAGGGCTGGGACAGGGGGATCAGGGCAGGGGGGAAGGAGGAGCAGCGGTGCTTGTTGACGCACAAACAGGTGTTCCAACGGAGGGACCTGCCACAGGGGGAGGGCTCTCAGGACCCACAAGTCAAACTGCACAGAGTCACAGTTAGTCATCATCATCGTCATCGTCATCATCATCATCATCATCGTCGTCGTCATCATCATCATCGTCGTCATCATCGTCATCATCATCTTCATCATCATCATCATCTTCAGTATTTATCTTCCCAGAAAGCACGTCCTCTATCCAGTCCTCCAGCTCCTCAGCTGTGGGCAGGTCATCATCATCTGTGATCTCCATCCAGATGCTGTCAGCCTGTGGGGACAGGTGGTGGTGGGTTAGCTGCCCTCAGAGCCACAGGGAAGAGATGGGGTACACTGCTATTGCTGGGATAAGGATTGGACCATGGGTGGGATGCAGGGGTGGTGCCAATATTAGCTCCCTGTGGGCAGGCTCAGCCACAGTGTCTCTCTGCCTATGCATTGGGATTACCCCTATTAGCTCCCTGTGGGCAGGCTCAGCCAGAGTGTCTCTCTGCCCATGCATTGGGATTACCCCCTGCCCCTGATGTGCTGTTGTGTCTGACTGGGGACAGGAGTCAATGGGTTTACATGAGTGTGTGGTATTGTGTGCCCTGGGTGAGATGTGTGTCCACTGCCTGTTCCTCTCTTGCACTGCCTACACCTGTGAGCAAGTGCATTGTCCACCTGATGCATTGTCCTCACCCTGTCTGGACAGTTCTGTAGACTCCAAGCCTACATAAAGAGATCTCAGAAAGCCAGCTCTTCCCCTGCATTGCCCAGTTCAAAAACATCACAGTGTTTCCCTCCTTCCATTCAGAGCCCTTCTGGGACCTCTTCCTTTGAGTCTTTACACCCCTCTGTCAGCATCCCTTCCCCCAAATTCTTTTACCGTCACCTTTGCCTCAGGACCTTGCTCTGGACTCTCCAAGTGTGATGGTGGCTCCTCCTCTTGGAAGACCCTTTCCTCAGATCATCTCAGCCACACTACAGCTAAAGAATGGTAAAAAGCACCAATTCCCTGGACTACAGGAGCCCCCTGCTCTTTCGCTCCAGCTGTATGCATTAATCCTATAAACCCGAGGGGACGGGGAATTCAGTAAGAAAATGATGAGTAAATTATGGCTGTTATCTAGGGACTGCAAGCATAGCTTAGATGGTTTCTGAGGCCTGGAAATGAGAGCTTCTCTCTCTGCTTTGCTATAGGTTCCTTGGGTAAATGCCTGGGAAAGCCCCTTTCCTTTCACTGTCTCCCCTCCATAAAACAGATCAGCCTTCTATTTTGCAGGGGTGCCCTGAGGTTATCTCATTCAGCGTTTGATGTTGTAGAAGCAGGTGATCTTCATAGGTCAGAAGATAACTACCAGTTTTTGCAAATGCACTCAACTTCTTTCCCTGTCAGTGGTACCTAATTCTCTATGGTTTATGGCTTGCTAAAAGGCCAGGCCAATTTCTGCTCTAGGAAAGTTGTTCCTCCCATACAATATTTTCCTCCCATACCACCAAAACTGTAATAAATGCCATGGAGAGGCATGCAGCTCTTGCTTCACGCAAACGATCTTGTCCTTAACCTCAGGACTGTTTGTGCAGCAAAAAGTGACACTTTTAAATGATGGGAACAGGAGTGGCCCCATTGCACCTAGAGAAGCTGCTGTGCAAATAAAGCAGTAATATTTAGCAGAGCATCATGGCCCTAGTCCTGAACCACCACAATGTGATGGGCAAGGGGGCCACTGGGAGCTCTGCTGTTTGTATTGGCAGGTTTTTAGAGAAGCAATGCGGTCACAGGGGTTATGTTCACCGAAGCCAACAGCAGTGTTTATTTTTACTCCATTGTGTAAGCCCCACTTGGTACCTGTGCAACTTGGCTGAATGCAGTGATGTAACACTGAAATAATGAAATGAGCTCAATGTTTGTTTAAGATATCACCCGCCAACCTAGAACTTTCTTAAATCTCTCTCTTGAGAAATAAAAAACGGACTTAAGAGGAATGAAATAAAAACTGCAAATACTATAATCAACAGCCTGAAACATTTACTATATCAAAGCCAGATAATGCAAGAGCTTTTACAGGTCTCTGAGTGACTGCTGGATAATAAGGCATATGTTCTTGCTTAATACTGTTTGCTATATGATTCTCATGCCACTGGCAATCCTACTTCCATGAATTTCCATTGATTGCTGTTTAATGGAGCTTTGACATGTCTTAAACATGGCCAGCTGCAGTAAATATAATGAAGGGAGATACTATGAAGTAGTAATAAGGGCAAAAGTCTGAAAGACTTGGACTCCATTTCTGGCTTGGCTGTTCATTTCTCTTGTGATCTTAGGTGACAGATGCTATCTTGACCCTTTTCCCTTTTGTCTCTCCCTTAACAATTCTGCTAACAAACCTTAACTCACTGCAACCTCACTGTCCAGGTGTCTGTCCCATGGTTTGGCAGATTAATGCTCTATTACAGGTGAAGAGCTCACATCCTGTCAGTGCTGCAACTACTCCGTGAGTCCCAAGTCAGCCTCTCATTACCCTCAATGGGATGAGCAAGATCCAGAGGCTCTGCTCTCTTCATGACACCATTGCTTTGCCTTCCCTACCACATCTTTCATGTTATGGTCTTGTAGCATCTGTTACAACAGGAGGCACAATTGTCCAGGGCACCCTTGCTGTCCCTCTTTTTCTGGGGCAATACAGGAGAGAGGATATGGAGGCAAGGTCAGTGGTGGTGCCAGAACCAGCACCCAGACCCAGACATTTGTCCCAACTCTAAGTCCCTCTCTGCTCTCTTCTAATAAAACATAAGATTAACATACAACTGAAATTTCAAACATTAAGTCAAACACCTAATTACAAACATGTTTGCCGTAGAAATATTTCTGCTCCCAGAGACACCTACATACCCACACAGGTTCATTTTAAAGAGATTAAAACACACAGCCCTTAGCCATCAAAACAAAACTAAGGTAATAAGTGAGCCAGGCTGGAGCATGACACATTATGTGCTCTCTGACCACTTGGACTGCTGTTCTCAGAAAGAGGAAAAAATGTGTCAGAGTTGTGAAGCATGTTACACTGCACTCAGCAGCTCTCCTGAGGTCTCTGCTGGGTGGAGGTCAGACAGATCCCTCTCCCACCTGTCTGAAAAGCTCACAGTGTGTGAGCCACCTGATATGAGTCCCATGGCTTGCTGGCTTGAAGGCAACCATGGTGAAAAGGGTAGCTGCTAGAAAGCTGGTCCAATAGCACAGCTGTGGGTGCTGTGGGCACCTTCACTAACCCAGCTGTGCCAAAGCAGCACCTGCTGCTGTAGCTCTCCCTCCTGGCACTGCTGGCTGTGGGACAGTGTGGAAACCCTTCACTGCCACCAGGTGTGGGGCAGGCAGGTCTCCTCTTCCCAACCAAATCCCTCCAACACTGCTCACACAGAGGTGGCTGAGGAGAAGAGGGTCCTGCGTGAACAATAGTACACCCTCTTCACCACAGTAGGATCCCTCCATTACCAGTTTATGCTATACTTTTATTGAAACTGTATTTATTTGGTTTTTTTGAAGCAGTGCAGTTTTTCCTTGTCATCTGTTGGTGATCATGTTTCCCTCCTACACTCAAGCTGTGCAATTCTGCTTCTACAGCAAAAACAACCTCCGTTTTCTCCTCTTCTTCCTCCCTAAGCATGGCTTTCATTCCCCCCTACATACTCTTTTCCTCCACAATCCCACCCATGCTCAGTCAGAGCAGGGAAAGGACAAAGGTGCATGGTGTGGGTCAGGGTGGAAATGTGAGACCTTGAAAACAAAACTGGGAGAAGCCCTGAATCTCAGGTCACAAGAGATGGTCTTGTCCTCAGCAGATGTAGTTTGTGTATGACTTGGCAGCAGAAAGACTCTCAGACTGAAGCTCCGAATCATGACGTCAGAGGTGTTACAAACCCTGCTGCATGTGGGAATGGTGAAGTCTTCACATATTTTTCCCCAGGGAAAAAGCCTGGTCTACCTGCATTTAATAGCAGCAATCCCACCAATTCCAGCAGACCTCAGATCCCATCCTTTCTAGCACCCTAATCTAGGGATCGCTGGATTTTCTGGACACACGCTACTCACATCTGTGACGTTCACCACCCCAATCTGTGGTCTGAACAGGTCGATCTTGAAGGTCTTCTCCCAGTAAGTGATCAGCTGCAGGAGTGAGAAACAAAGCTCAGACAGGGGTGTTCTCAATACCCCACTGCATTAGCTCAGTCAGCTGGGCTGCAGTGCAAGGAACGTGCATCAACGAGTGCATGGGAGTGAAGCGAGGCTGAACACAAGCTTGGGCTGCCACCCTTGGCAAAGGAAAGTGCTGACTCTGGGGATGTTCCCAAGACAACACCTTTATGGGAGGCAGACTCAAATGAGAAGCTCTCAAGGGATGGCCTGTGGTCCAGTTTCCCATCCTTCCCTGTCCCAAATTCCTCAGGGCAATTTCTATCCTCATGTGTGCATGTGCACACCCCCCTCACCACCCTCCCCATCTATGAATCAAACCAGGCCCATCCATGAATTAGACCAAGAAAGGCAAGGAGCCTCTGCCACTCACCAGAGGAAAGTCATCGGGGTCAATCCAGACAATGCTCAGGTCGGGATTATCAGTGTTGTCCCTGGCAACCTGCTTGAGGATTTCCAGGAACTCAAAACCATCTGAAATTATACATGAAACACTGCAGCTCTCTCCTGCAAACACGCAGGCACTTTTTGCTTGTGGGGTTTCCAGCTTCCCTGGCCCCCTTATGAACACAGGAGTTGTTTATAGCTCTCATTAAAATGCTGTCTCCCAGCGCCTTCTTTTGATAATAAGGCTTTTAATTTCAAGCATCCTCCCCGGGTATTGAAATTAGTTACACATGAATTAAGTCTCATAATCCTTCCGTGGAGTGGAACAATGTCACTATTTTCTTGTGGTGAGGGAGGAACTGAGCCCCAAAGAGCCCAAAGCTCTTTGGATGCTGGTGGCACTGAGAAGCACTGATGCCATGGCATTTCAGAAGTAGGCAGCCTCGGGTTTTCTGCATGCCTATCACACCCCCAGCCCTCAACACTCCCAGAGCCACACAGCAAGATGGATGCAGAGTCAGGGAGAGAGTCCTGGTGCTGGGGTGAAGGGGATGACTTTTTTTTCCTCAGGCAGTCATCTGTTTATATCCAAAATTTCAATCCTGACTAGCACACCTGCTAGCATAAACACCCAGAAGCATCCCAGCTCCCCATCCCGGAAGGCTGGGGCTTCCCATCCTGGCTGGGGTGCTAGGCTCCACAATGCAAACAGAGCCCATGAAAATACACTTTCTTGGGGGTGGAGTGCCACACAGTGAGGAAAATGGCCTCGTACCTGGGTCGTCTTCTTCAGCAAAGGCTACGATGTGGATTCCCTCCATGTCATCCTCCTGCAAACAACAAAGCTATTACTGTTGGGCCAGAGAGGGAGGACAGAGTCTGTGCTGATGCTGGAGATGAGAAGCAAGCAGATACCTTCAAACAAACAGGACAATTGCAAAGGGAGTCTTGACTGGAGCCCCACTGAGACACCAGAAAAGGAAACAGGGGGCTGAGGTGAAGCTGTCATAGAGGCGTTGGGTGCTGAAGTGAGTAGTTTGTACACTGAGACACCAGAAAAGGAAACAGGGAGCTGAGGTGAAGCTGTCATAGAGGTGTTGGGTGCTGAAGTGAGTAGTTTGTGTAGCATTGCTGAAACTCTTCAGTTAAAGAGGTGGGCATCATGATGGCAAAGGTGTCAGAGCTCCTGACAGTGTGGGGCAAATGCTTGTCTGCAGAGAAGGTCAAGAGCTCTCTAGCATGGGAATATAGGCTCCCACTTCATGCCTGAGGCCACCTACCCTCATAAATTTGCAGCTGCTGGGGGATGGTTTGCAGGGAAACAAATATCTGTCACCATGCTCAGCTCCAAATATGCTCCTTCAGAACCAGCAAAGGAAGTTTTCCCACAATAAAGAGGCAAGGTGGCTCATTCGGGCCCCTTTTGGGAGGTGAGGGGTCTCTGCTTTAGGTGAGAGTCTCTGTGAGCAGTGGGGGGAATTGAGTAGGGGACAGAAATAACAGCCTGGTAGACTGCTTTTCTCTGTGAGACATGTGAGCAATGTGTAACGATATTGGCAAAGGCCAATGGATCTGCCAGCAGGTTCATCATCAGCCTGCTATGAATGTCATCTCTGAATTATCCCATGGATCGGTTTCACCTTCCTCACCCGCTGCCGGTCCTGGTTTCCATTTCAATTGGTTTTAATGCAAGAAAAAATTCCCATCTAAATGCTAATTTCTTTTCCCTTCTGAGTCCAGAGGTGACAAAGACACCATCAAATACTGAAAGGGGAAAAAAACCTGAAAGATTAAGTGGAAAACATTATCTTTAAAAACAATAGCGGATGCTGAGCCTTTGTGGACATCTTCAGGGAATACGTTTTCACCAGGACATTCTAGGCAAATTTACTTGGGATTCAGACCACTTACAGCTGGCAAAATCTACACTGTTGCTTTTTCTCTGTATTTGCCAGTAGTACTGTCAGGCAGCAAAATTAAAAGTATATATATACACTATATAATTATATATCTGGACTAACTCCAGTGAAGGCATAGAGGACACTGAACTCACAGTGAGATCAGAATCCAGCCCACTGTCTTCTGTAGGTACAGGTTCCCTGCTTGTAGCAGAGACAAGCTCCATATTCCCAGGCTGCTAGTAAAGCAAACATCCCACTGCTGTGAATCCACACTTTCCCTGAGGCTATTTTAGAATATGTTCAGTATGAATGCAAATCCACTGCATGTAAAATTTGGGTCCCACTGAAGCTCCATGAAAAGCCTTGGAGGGGCTTCAATGGATCTTGGAAGCTATGTTTATACAGAATCTGTGTTTCAAAACAAAATTAAAAGCTATCATGCCTAAGTGACTCATAACTCTTGGTTCAGTTTTATTACCTCTTGCCTAGTTGTATTAAAGACTCCCAAGGTTTTTGCTGCTTTGGAGTCCCACAGTGCTTCATGTTACACAACCAAGCAAGGAGACATCTGAATGCTGTTAGAAATGTGACAAGCCTTTTGGAGAAATAACTGCATCTTCCTTAGCATCTGTAAAGCACCTGTTCAGCTTTGTTTTTCAGCATTCATCTGGACCACTCAAGGGTCCCTGATTAGCTTTTAACATCATATTTATTCACAGTGAAGGCATAATTTGTTATACAGAATTTTTCTTTCAAATTGTGTTATACACAATTTTTCTTTCATTTTCCCCCTTCCCCTCTTTCCTGCCCCTGCAGACCAGGAGAGTCCTCTGTGTGTGATAGGGGCCAAGCTGCTGGTTAGTCCTTCACAGTTGCTGATTTGCAGCTTGCTTACACCAGCAGTGCAACCAATGCACAATCTGCTTTGAAGTCTATATAATTAACTGTATTGACTGCCCTCACTTGCATTTTGAATTGTACAACTGCTCTGGTACTTTCACAAGGGCATGTAGTGATAGGACAAGGGGGAATGACTTTAAACTGAAAGAGGGTAGATTTAGATTGTATACTAGGAAGCAATTCTTTACTGTGAGGGTAGTGAGACACAGGAACAAATTGTCCAGGGAAGTTGTGCCTGCCCCATCCCCAGAAGTGTTCAAGGCCAGGCTGGATAGGGCTTTGAACAACCTGGTCTAGTGGAAGGTGTCCCTGCCATGGCAGTGGTGGTTAGAACCAGATAATCTTTAAGGTCCTTTCCAAGCCTAATCATACTATGATTCTGTGAATTTCCATGAGACATCTGTACTATATCTGCGGCTCATCCAGCAAGCAGGTCACTGAAATCACTCCACCTCCAGGACTGACAGCCTTTAGCTGGGATGGAGCATTTTAGGGCACGATGCTCTCCATAGCCCTATCACGGTCGCTACACAGGCCCAACACCTGCCTGGCACACTGCATAGCTTTCCCTTTTCTCTCTGTAGAGCAAACAGGACCCAGCTCAGCTGTCCACTGTACTTGAGCAAAGCATTTGAGCACACTGTTTGCACTCAGGCATTAAGCATCACAGTCAAAGCTTTCCCTTCTTCTTAGAAGAGGGAAAGTAGCTTCACAAGGACGGAAAGATAATATTTTGCCCAGAGAGGCTGGAGCTCTTGAGCAGCAGTTTCTTGTTGGAATTTGGCAGGGGATGCAAAGCTTTCCACCCACATGTGCTTACCCACGTCTCAAACATGTCCTCTGGCCGCAGCTTCCTCAAGGTGGCCCTGAAAGGAAGACAGAAACGCTCTTTGAGGACACATCCAGCACTGTCACACATGACGCTGCCAGCATCACAGAAAAGGTCACCATGGCACATTTGGCTGGTGGCTGGAGTCAGTGCCATCAGCCACCACATTTTTGAATGCAAGCATGGGGGCACTGTAGGTCAACTTATGCTTTTATTTATGGTGATAAAACCCTGCCCTTGGCCCCACTGGAGTCATTGCAGCCACTATTTGTGCTTGGGAAGATGTGATGCCTCTCTGTGCTGGGGTGTGCTAGTCCCACACATGGCAGATTGTTCTGTCTGTGCTGAGAGCATAAGGTGACCCATTCACTTTTGTCTTGCAGTCCTTAGGACCTTCCTAATGGGCTTTGTCCCCATTTTCTCCTGGTTTTACTCCCACCATAATTTCAGCACAGAAATTCTTCCAACCTCTGCTGAAGTAAAGACAACTGAATAACCTCTGCAAAGAAAATTTAGATCCTAATAACCATGGACAAGACAATTTAAACCCTAAGACTCATCAAAGCAAATATTTTTGAGAAGTAGTTAATAAAGGACAAAAAAATTAATAGTAAATATTTTCAGACACAGTCGTAGATTGAAGCTTGGCAGAGAGACTGGTAAGCTAAGAATTGACTAGGGTGGTAAAAGGGCACTCAAGGAACACAAGGCCATAGCAGACAAGCACAAGATATCCTCTGCACCTCTGCTCATTTTGGCATCAGCTCTTCAGGGAGGATTCCCCAGCAGACCAGGTGTTCCTGGCTGACCTGCACCAGGATTTGTTGCAAAGAGAATTGTCAGTCTATGAGGTTTTAGAACAGTTTGGTAGAGGGAGTAGCAGCGTGTTATCAGAACCAGGTGGCATAAGTGAACTATGTAACCTGGCACTTCAGTTTGCCTCACTACTCTTTACTCACTACTACTTTACTCACTAGCAGTGGAAACTCACTGCTCTTTACTCACTGCTCTTTACTCACTACTAGTTTACTCACTAGCAGTGGAAACACAGAGTACTTTTTAGAGGTTCCTAAAGGACCTGAGGAGCTACAGATCTGAAAGGGTGACTTTCTAACGGGCATGATGCCACAAGCAAAGTTAGAGGTAACACATTTGAAGGAATATGATATGATAGCACAAGAGGTACACTCTAAGAGTAAAGTCATGGCTATGGAGTTCCCAGAGCAACTCAATGAGTGGGTGAAGGTATGCTGGTGAATGCAGTGAGTGGCCTTTGGAGAATCATTGGACAGGATCCCTTCCTAAAGGCTCTCAGGGAATCTGAGCTGCAGTTAGATCAGAGGAGGGGATCCTGCTGTGGCCTAATGTCATTGGACAATGGAGATGAATGATCAGTTTTCATGACAGAGGGAATTAACCAACTAAAATTCATGGCATATTCTTTGGCATGATCATATGCATAACATATTCTCATAGAATTTGAAAAATATGGGATATAGGAATAATGCAGCGTTTGCTTATCATATCCAAGTCCTTCATGACCAACAGAGGCCTCACTATGAGATGATACAGAGGGATCTCCTGAAACTCGAATGTCTGCATAATAGACAGACATATAGGAAGTAATGCACTTGCAGAAAACCAAGCCTGGTTTTACAGGTACACTAATGGGTTCTAAATTAATTGTAAATAAATATTGTCCCTCAGGAAAGGGGCTGTCTCCTGAAACTCGAATGTCTGCATAATAGACAGACATATAGGAAGTAATGCACTTGCAGAAAACCAAGCCCGGTTTTGCAGGTACACTAATGGGTTCTAAATTAATTGTAAATAAATATTGTCCCTCAGAAAGGGGCCAAGGTGTAACAAGCTGAGAAAGAATCAGCTCCAAAGAAGAAGGCAAAATGAAGGTTGCAGACAGTAGGGAAATGACTGAGTAAAATATTATATATATATATATG